CTTTCTGAGACTTGAGAGAGGGTCTCCCCTCTGCGGAGGTCTTCAATAGTAGTAGTACTTGTTGTTGTTGTTATTGGTGGTGGTGGTAATGGTGGTGTGTGTGTATGTGTGTTTACTTCTCTTCTTTTAGTTTTGCTGTTGTGAGATTATTTTCTGTGTTCTCATGGGTGTAGTTAACCTCTTTAGGTTTTCCTTCTAGCACCTAGTAGGGATTTGTAGATAAAGATTAGATTTAAATATTGTTTAATATTATTTAAATGTTATTTTAATTCTTAAATTAGATTTAAATATTGTTTAAATTTGACTTTATCATGGAATATCTTATTTTATCCTTGTATGGTAATCGAAAGTTTTGCTTGGTCTAGTTATCTGGGCTAGCATCTGTGATCTCTTAGGTTCTGTATGCTCTTCTTATTTTTAGAGTCTCCATTGAGAGGTCACATGCTATTTTTATAGGTTTTCATTTATATGTTACTTCTTCTGTATGTCTTGCAGCTTTTAATATTCTTTCTTTGTCCTATAAGTTCACTGTTTAGATTATTACATGCCAAAAAGAAATTTTCTGTTGTGTATGACTTTTGTACCTTGATATACATCTTCTGTAGGTTAGAAAACTTTTTTCCCATAATTTTGTTGAAAATATTTTCTGTGCTTTTGACCTGGATTTCTTTTCCTTCCTCTTTTCCTATTATTTTTAGATTTCATCTTTTCATTTTGTGCTGGGTTTCCTGAAAATTCTTATCTCAAGATATTTTTAGATTTAACATTTCTTTGACTAACATGTATCCATTTCTTCTAACATATCTTGACCAAGCCAGCTCAGTCAGTCAACAGGATCTCTAAGGTAGGATTGAGGATTAAAAGGTAAAAAAGACAATTAGACACCATTGTAGCATAATCCAAGCCAGTTCTGAGGCTGAAACAAGTTTACCTTTTTCGAGTCTGCTTTTATACCACTATAAGTACATGCAAAATGATATGATCAGCTCTGGGTCAAGGAACAAGCAAAGCAATTAACAAAATCCTGTAAACACCTTTCTAGGGGGTAGTCAGTACCAAAGCTAAAGGCTACACAAGCCTCTGCTAAACTTGTTCTGAGCTTTGCATTAACTCAAATGTAAATGTTTTTAATCTGGGCCTATTTCCTGAGGCCTGGCCCTAAGTCAGATTCCTGCCTTGAATTTATTTCTTTTGTCCTGGCCCTTTGTCAAATTCCTGCCAAGTGGCCCCCAAAAGCTCTCCACAATATTTTCAGTGTCTGAAACTCTCTTCCATCTCTTGAATTCATTTGGTGAGTCTTGCCTCTGTAGTTTCTGTCCAAGTTCCTAAGTTTTTTATTTCCAATTTTCCTTGGGTTTAGGTTTTCTTTATTGATTCTCTTTCCATTTTCAGGTCTTGAACTACTTTATTCATTTCCTTCAAATGTTTGGTTGAGATAAATGATTTATTTATTTTTTTCTTTAAGGACCTCTATAATATTCATAAAGGTCATCTTAAAGTCTTTGGTTTGTGCTGCAGCCATGCTGCATTTCTCGGGGTCTACTACATTCATCCCTGTTTTAAATGCTTCATAGTATTTATAACCATCTGAAATCATTTTTTTTCTTTACTACAATGAGCATTTCCTCTTTCAGATTCTAGACTTTGTTTGAAAGTCCTACTTCCCCAGCAACTGAAACAGAGCCTTCAGCCAAAAAGATATGTGATAGATCGACGAAATGACTCAATTGGAAACCTGTTTAAAATTCACACATGAGAATCTTGATCTGATACCCATCATCCACATAGAAATTAGGTGCAGCTCTGCATGCTTCTGATTCCAGTGCTGGGAGGTAGAGAGAGGAAGATCCCTGGAGCTCATTGGCCAGTCAGTTTACCCAAATTGGTAAGCTTCAGGTTCAGTGAGGGACCCTGTGTCAAAGTATATGGTGGCAGACAATTGAGGAAGACACCTGAGGCTCTTCTTTGGCCACCACCCTTACATAAACAACCACACGTGAAAATAAACATGGTTTAGAATGAATGAAGGCATGCATGCATTTGTGAATGACTGAGTACCTTCTAAATGTTAGAACAAATTCCTACATAATGATTTTTTTGACAAACTACTTGTATATAGGAAATAAATTTATAGTAAGAATCCAGAATAAAATAAGTAAGGTTTGATAATACCTTTTTCAGAGAACTTAAGTTTTTGAAAAATTTCATTAGAGGTTTTTTTTTTAACTTCTTTTTGATTTTTTTTGTTTGTTTCATATCATGTACCCCAGTCACTCTTCTCCTTGTCTCCTCAGATCTTCTATTTGCTCTTGCAATCTCTACCCCCCAAATAAAACACACACACACACACACACACACACACACAGACACAGACACACACACACAGACACAGACACACACAGAGAGAGAGAGAGAGAGAGAGAGAGAGAGAGAGAGAGAGAGAGAAAGAGAGAGAGAGAAACAAGTAACCAACAACAACAACAAAAATAAAGAATGCATAGACAACACCTCATTTTGGAAGCTGTAGTATCTCACAGTGTATCCTACAGTATATATTTCTGTCCATACATCTTTACTTGCAAATGTTCATTGTAATGATTCATTGGTCTGCTTCAAGGTCTCTTCTGTGACATCATCAATATTGGATCCTCATCAGGGCTCCTTCTAGTTATCTTGTTGTTGCCCTGTGTCCTGGAGATCCTGCAGCTTTGGATCAGCAGGCCTGGCCCTTTCACATGCCCCAACTGTTTGCAGATGATACAGATTTTGATGTGGGATCTAACTCAGATCCCTGGATCTGGGCCTGGATGGTAGATGCACTTGTCAGCCTGCCAGCTCTCTCTTATCTGTACCACCAGGGCATGTTCTCCAGCACTGCTCTGGCTAGGCCACCCAATGTAACCACTGGGAGTAGGCAGGGGTAGCTCTCTTGCTGTCATGCCCTTGGGGTGGAACTTCTGTACTCACACCTCCAGAGTCAGTTCCACCGTGCTGCCCAGTCAAGGTGAGATGCTCCCAACTGTTGCAGTCTATGAGGGGCTGGGCCAGCTTTCCCTCTCTTACACCCTCAGGGCTGCTTCACCTGTGTCTTTGCCATCAGGGCCTGATCCATTGTACTGCCCAGGAAAGGTATAGGGTCCACTCTCCTGAGTGCTATACCTGACGAGGGGCCAGGCCAGCTACTCTGCTCTCATGACCTCCAGTAAGATCTCCCAATTACTTCTGGCAGCAAGAGGCACAGCAGATGAGTGGTGGGGGACCAGTTCTTCTATGCTCACAGCCTCAGGGCTGACTCACTCACACCTTCACCAGTAGGGCCAGCTCTGTTATGCTTCTCAGGCAAGATGCCTGCTCACCTGTATGTTGCAAGAGGTGAAGGACACGGCCAGCTTACCTCCTCTCCTGACCCTGGCTGGGGTCAGCTCTCCAGACTGCCTCAGGTGGTCAGAGGTGAGGGGGTGGAGGGCATCTCCCCTCACTCTGCCCATGGTACCTTATGACAAAGGAGTGGTGGGGTCAGCTCTCCCATGCTCTCAACCTCCTGGTTGTCTCATCTGTACCCTCACACCAGGGTCAGCTCTGTTGTGCTGTCTAGATGAGCTAACGAGCCTGCTCTTTCAAGTGCTGTAGCTGGTGAGGGTACAGGGCTAGCTCTCCTGAGCTTATGACCCTGTGGGCAGCTTTCCTGACTGCTGGAGGAGGTGGCAGCAGTGGAGGGTAGTGGGTAGTAGCAATTGCCTGTCTGTCTATGCCACCACACCACAGATGTGCAGACAAGTGGCAGGACTAGCACTCCCACACTCACACTCTTGGAGCAGCTCACCTTCATCCCCGCCACCAGGGACAGTTCCATTGTACTTCCTGGGTACAATGAAACTGCATCTGTAGAGATGCAGAGCCAGCTCTCCAGAGTGCTGCATCTAGTGAGAAGTATGGCCAGTTATGTATAGCTCCTGGACATCTATGTGGTCTCCTTGGCTGCCCTGACCAGAGACAACCCCACTTTCTCTAGTGTTAATATGAGCCATGGACATGGCACTGACCCCTGCTGCTGGATAGCCATGGACCTAGACATGACCTTCAGTGGCAGTTAGGGCTAGGGCAGGTTTGGCTACTCACAAGAGACCTTTCCACCCTTGAGTCTCCATTTCCATCTCTGTTAGTAATGCTCAAGCTGCTTCACTTCTCTTTCCCACCCATTTGACCACCATATACTTACTCTCTGTGGTGACTCCCACTGTAGGCTGGCCATACAGTTGGTGGGCCCTTGGGTGACATCTTCCATCCCTGCTGCATTACCATGGTGGCAAGCAGGTATCTATGGACTGCCTGTGTCATGAACTGGAGGGCAGATATCTGGGTGACATGGTGGAATGCAGGTCTTGGTCTTCCTACTCCTGCACTATGTTGCTTTGCTTTGATTTTACTTCTATGAGTCCTAAGCATAAGACAGCTTTGGCCATGAAGCCATGCATCAAGCCTGAATGAACAAAGGACTGCCATCTGCTCTGCCCCTGGCTGATATAAGAACACCACCAACCACAAGGTATCTCTTTGCCCATTACCAGGGGGGTAGAGTTCTTATTTTGAGAGTCAGAAGGATTCTTATAACTTGTAGATCAATAGATCTATCTATCTATCTATCTATCTATCTATCTATCTATCTATCTTTTTTCTTTCTTTCTATTTATCTATGTATACATGTGTATGCCCATATGTATGTTTGTTTTTTAGAAGAAGACAATGTGAGGAATTATAGATATCTAAATACTTGATAAAATATTAATACAAGGAAACAATAAATGTGTAAGGCTCCCGGAGTGGGGAGACCCCTACTCAAGCCACAGGAGAGTATGACCATCTAGAATCACATGAGAGACCGAACTTGTTGTAAACCGCAAAAGGCTTTATTTCTGGATTTTGGGGTATCAGTGGGCTGAGGCCGAGGCTCACAAGGGGAGCGTCGACCCCGAGGCTGACCCCTAGGCTCGGGAGTAAAGGGTATTTAAATGAGAAAACTGCAAGCCGGGGGTGGGGGGGGGGGGAGGGTGGGGTGGGGGGGTGGGGGGGGGTGGTGGTAAAGGGGGAAATCAAAAAAAGGAACAGTAGCTAGTCATAAACTAAGGTGGGGAGTGGGAAACATCTTGTACACATTTTTTTCAGGTTTGTGACCTTAACCTAGCCTATTGTGGTCAGTCATTTCTCAGAGTATCTTGACCAACCTGTATTTGTAGTTCTGCTATTCTTTGTTGGAACAACCTGACTTACTTGTCCCCTGGCTAATTTTTGTTTTGAGTGGCCAGCTAGTTCCTAGAACCTAGGCCTGTGTACCTGTCAACCTTAATCCAAATGAAGGGTTTCGGGCTTCTCTATGAATTTTTAAATGAATCAATAAAATTTCCAGAAAAACTTAGTGTATGCCTAGCATTATGGTTCCATGTTGAGCCATTCTGCCAGGGTGTTTCTGTTTTGTGTTATGAGTGGTGTGTCATGCTGATACCAGGAGAATATTAGATATAATCTATTCAGGCATATTTAGGCTTACATGTCCTCCAGGATGCTTTTCCAATTAACAACCCAGTTAGATACGGGGTATAGCTACTGTTTCCAAGAGGACCTTCCTGCTTGTCAAAAGTAGAACAGGGACTAAATAATATTTATGACTACTCTTTAGAACTAGTAGTAGCCTAGGACTGGGGAAGTGGAAGGAGTGACTTAGAAAACAATGGAATTGCAAGAAAAAGGTAATCACAATAAAGTCAAGGAAAGGGGAGCATATGATAATAGCTTAGGCACAGGGACTACTGATCATTTATGCACAGGAAAAGATTCCATTCATATGCCATATGTTTCTTGACAAATATAATGAATGACCTAGGTCTAGTTAGTTATAGGGCTTTTATCACAGAGCTTGTGAGGCTTCATAAATTCATTTTGTAGCTAAGACTCTCTTCAACTTGTAGCATCTTTAACAGTTATTTTATTTGGGGTGGTAAGTATAATTAATATTTTCTAAAAGAGGAAAGAATTGGCACAATTAGAGACAACATACATTACTATCTAACAGTCATCAATGTGCCAAATAGTACTACTGGTTCACCTATGTGATCCTTATTTTTTCTGAACCTAACTTTCACAATTATAAGATGGGAACAATAATAACTAATTTCTAGGGTTGTTGTGAAGAATAAAAGAACTTGAGTATTCTTTTTGAGATGCTCTTTCCATAACAAAGCACCTAGAAATCGTGGATAAAATGTGAGCTCCCAGGAAAGTAAAGAAAATCTCTAGGATACAGAAAAAGTAGAAAACAGAAATCAAAATGATAGACAAGCTTTCAAATCACTTGATGCCACTATCTGGATTGTAGATCTCTGATTCTTTAAAAATAAATTTCTTACCTTTATTAATTATGTTTGTGTGGAGATGGTTATGCATACCATTACCTACATATGGAGGTCAAAAGACAATTTGTGGGAGTCAGTTCTTTCTTTTTACAATGTGAAATTCACGGAAATAACTCAGGTCACCAGTCTTGGTTATATCACCAGCTCCTCTGATCCTTTTTAATTTTTGGAGACAGGGTTCTACCATGAGACTCTTTTTTGCTTGAAACTCATTATATAGACTAGATTAGCCTGCCTGTATAGATTAGCCTTGCTGTATATTGCTTTACTATGTCTATGTATGGACCTTGAATTCCTGATCTTTCCAAGACTTTTATCATGAAGGGGTGTTGAATTTTGTCAAATGCTTTCTCAGCATCTAGTGAGATGATCATGTGGTTTTTTTCTTTGAGTTTGTTTATATAATGGATTACATTGATGGATTTCCGTATATTGAACCAACCCTGCATTCCTGGGATAAAGCCTACTTGATCATGATGAAAAATTGTTTTGATGTGTTCTAGGATTCGGTTTGCTAGAATTTTATTGAGTAATTTTGCATCAATGTTCATAAGGGAGATTGGTCTGAAGTTCTCTTTCTTTGTTGGGTCTTTGTGTGGTTTAGATATGAGCGTAATTGTGACTTTATAGAATGAATTCGGTAGTGTACCTTCTGTTTCTATTTTGTGGAATAGTTTGAAGAGAATTGGCATTAGGTCTTCCTTGAAGGTCTGATAGAATTCTGCACTAAAACCGTCTGGTCCTGGGCTTTTTTTAGTGGGGAGACTTTTAATGACTGCTGCTATTTCCTTAGGGGTTATGGGACTATTTAGATGGTTTATCTGCTCCTGGTTTAACTTTGGTACCTGGTATCTGTCTAGGAAATTGTCCATTTTATCCAGGTTTTCCAGTTTTGTTGAGTATAGGCCTGTGTAATAAGATCTGATGATTTTTTGCATTTCTTCAGTTTCTGTTGTTATGTCTCCCTTTTCAGTTCTGATTTTATTAATTTGGATACTGTCTCTCTGCCCTCTGATTAGTCTGGCTAAGGGTTTATCTATCTTGTTGATTTTCTCAAAGAACCAGCTCCTGCTTTTATTGATTCTTTGGATAGTTCTTTTTGTTTCTATTTGGTTGATTTCAGCCCTGAGTTTGATTATTTCCTGCCTTCTACTCCTCTTGGGTGTATTAGCTTCTTTTTGTTCTAGAGCTTTCAGGTGCATTGTCAAGCTGCTAGTGTAAGCTCCTGCCAGTTTCTTTTTGTAGGCACTTAGAACTATGAATTTTCCTCTTAGCACTGCTTTCATTGTATCCCATAGGTTTTGGTATGATGTGTCATCCTTTTCATTAAATTCTAAGTCTTTAATTTCTTTCTTTATTTCTTCCCTGACCAGATTATCAAAGAGTAGGGTGTTGTTCAGTTTCCATGTGAATGTGGGCTTTCCATTGTCTTTGTCATTTTTGAAGACCAGCCTTAGACCATGGTGATCTGATAGGATGCAAGGGATTATTTCAATTTTTTTGAATCTGTTGAGGCCTGTTTTGTGCCCAATTATATGGTCTATTTTGGAGAAGGTACCATGAGGTGCTGAGAAATAGGTATATTCTTTTGCTTCAGGATGAAATGTTCTATAGATATCTGTTAAGTCCATTTGGTTCATAACTTCTGTTAGTTTCACTGTATCTCTGTTTAGTTTGTTTCCATGATCTATCCACTGCTGAGAATGGGGTGTTGAAGTCTCCCACTTTTATTGTGTGAGGTGCAATGTGTGCTTTGAGCTTTAGTAAGGTTTCTTTTATGAAGATGAGTGCTCTTGCATTTGGTGCATAGATATTCAGAATTGAGAGTTCATGTTGGTTGACTTTTCCTTTGACAAGTATGAAATGTCCTTCCTTATCTTTTTTGATAGCTTTAAGCTGAAAGTCGATTTTATTCAATATTAGAATGGCTACTCCAGCTTGTTTCTTAGGCCCATTTGCTTGAAAAAATGTTTTCCAATCTTTTACTCTAAAGTAGTGTCTGTCTTTGTGGCTGAGGTGGGTTTCCTGTATGCAGCAAAAAGCTGGGTCCTTTTTGTGTATCCAGTCTGTTAGCCTATGCTTTTTTATTGGGGAATTGAGTCCATTGATGTTAAGAGATATTAAGGAGAAGGTGGTGTTGCTTCCTGTCATTTTTGCTAATAGGGGAGGCATTGTTTATGTGGTTATCTTCTTTTGGGTTTGTTGGAAGGGAATTATTTTCTTCCTCTTTCTAGGGTATAGTTGCCCTCTTTGTATTGGAGCTTTCCTGCTATTATTCTTTGTAGAGCTGGATTTGTGGGAAGATAATGTGTAAATTCGGTTTTGTTGTGGAATATCTTGGTTTCTCCATCTATGGTAATTGAGAGTTTTGCTGGGTATAGTAGCCTGGGCTGGCATTTATGTTCTCTTAGGGTCTGTATGACATCTGTCCAGGATCTTCTGGGTTTTATAGTATCTGGTGAGAAGTCAGGTGTAATTCTGATAGGTTTGCCTTTATATGTTACTTGGCCTTTTTCCCTTACTGCTTTAAAAATTTTTTTCTTTGTTTTGTACGTTTTGTGTTTTGACTATTATGTGATGGGAGGTATTTCTTTTCTGATCTAGCCTATTTGGTGTTCTGTAGGCTTCTTGTATGATTATGGGATTATGGTTATTCTCATTCCTTAGGTTGGGGAAGTTTTCTTCTATAATTTTGTTGAAGATATTTATTGGCCCTTTAAGTTGGGAATCTTCACTCTCTTCTATACCTATTATCCTTACTTAGGTTTGGTCTTCTCATTGTGTCCTGGATTTCTTGGATGTTTTGTTTTAAGAACTTTTTGCATTTTGTGTTTTCTTTGACAATTGTGTCAATATTTTCTATGGTATCTTCTGCACCTGAGATTCTTTCTTCTATCTCTTGTATTCTGTTGGTGATGCTTGTGTCTATGATTCCTGATTTCTTTCTTAGGTTTTCTATCTCCAGGGTAGTCTCCCTTTGTGATTTCTTTATTGTTTCTACTTCCATTTTTATGTTCTGGATGGTTTTGTTCAATTCCTTCATCTGTTTGTTTGTGTTTTCTTGTAATTCTTTAAGGGATTTTTGTGTTTCCTCTTTAAGGGCTTCTACCTGTTTACCTGTGTTCTCAAATTTTTTGAGAGTGTTGTTTATGTCCTTCTTAAAGTC